GGATATAGCTGGCAGGGACGTTTCAATGCTCCAAACTTTCGGTACGCCCGTGTAGCTGGCGAGAGGCTGCAAATAGACGGCTGAGAAGTCCCAGATCATCTCCTTGATCTCTGCAATGTCTTGGCCTTCGAACAACTGCGTCGGGAAGATGTCGCCCTTGTTGTTGCGGCCACTCTCAGTCTCCTTCAGGGTGACTTTCGCTACCATTCGAAGCTGTTGATCTTCTGGGGCGCTTGAAGGAATTGCGCCGCCTTCAGGCTGCGCTGCACTTGCCACGATTGATTCCAATATTCGAATTGAAAATGCCCCCTTAGTACTACTACGAGGTTTCAAGATTACTAGGAGTCTATTAGCTCTTACTACTAGTAGCGTTTTAATGAACACATAAGGGACGTCCAAAACCATTTCAAATCGATTTGAAAGAATCGATTTACTCCGAAGTTTTGGAAATTTTATGTGAATAGCACAATACTCTAATGGAGAAAGATACGATAAACAAGACGGGCGGCTAGTGGAGGACTCGAGACGACATAAATCTTCGCTGGCACAATTACCAATCGACACCGTAATTGCCCGCTTTGCCCATCAGCACGGTCGTGGCGCCTTTGTTGAGTCGCCAGTCTGCTGATGACGTCCACAACATCGCGCCTTGGTATTTGGCACCGGTCGTGGCGTACGCCGTGAGCTGCGTGGTCGTTGGAACGTCACCATAATCTGCACATACACCACTGCCGCCTTTTCCAACACATCCACCGATCACGAGTTTGTCCTTGCCGACCTTTGGGCCCCAAGTCGTGGGAACCGATTGCAATATCCCATCCAGCTTTGGCTGTTGGATGCATAACGTGTAAGGCGAGCGTTCCTCTTGTTCGGATCGTCACGTACCGACAAGTTGTTGTACAGCATATTGTTTACTTGATTGACGAGCGGTAAAATTTCGGTGGGAAAGCACCGACCGTACTCGACGGCTGGATCGTCGCACCCTTTTTCAAACGAGCCAGGGAATTCGTCCCACGAGATTCGATATGGACCGCGCGGCAATGCATCGAGTTGTTTGCGCAACGCTGAAATGTACCCAACAACTTGCGGCTGGGCATTCTTGTACCAGTCGCCACCCGCGTCTGCATTGCCGCTTTCGTCGTCGATATCGACGCCGGTAAAGTTAAATTTTTGGACGAGCGATGCGGCAGTCTTCCCGAATGTATTCCATTGTTCCTGTGTCTTGAGCTGAAGAAACGTTTTGCGCTCGGTGGCACCGCCGATGCTGACGTAGTTCTGAATACACATGCTACGTAATTACATTCCCACCGGGAATGGAGGTGAATCGACGCAGCAGGGACTGACTCGTGCACGCCATAACACGTACTTTTGGAAAGTCTTGATGCATGCGGTCAACGTGGCATCATTTCCCTGGAGCTTTTGGCTGACAGCGCCCGTTGCATCAATTGTAGCGAACCCCCAGTAAATGTGAGTCACGTATTTGGCAGCCTCGCTCGCGGCAAACTGCAGCGGAAACTGTTATTGCAAGGCAAGGGCGAGGTTTTCTCAACAAACCTCTTGGCATCCGTCGGCTTGGGATTCCCAGAACACGCTGAACGAGTTTCCGCTTTTCGTCCCCGGGCATGTCGTGCACGTCTTGTTGTCTTTCAAATACTGGTTGCGCGCCATGCAAACTGACGGCTGGGGAACGAGAGCGTCATCTTTTCCAGGAATTGCTGTGGGTGCGGAGGTCTTCTTTCCAAATGGCGACGACGACGTGCTAGTTGCAAACACGCCTGTCTTGGTCAAGAAGGATATACCAAAGCCCAGACCAGTTGTAAAGAAGACTACTCAAGTAGATCCGACGTGAGAATCACGCATCCTTCATGGCGCAGCATGGATGCCATCATGACGTACTCAGGAGCGGCAGCGGCCACCAGTGGCATCCCATCGTGGATGATCTGTGCGCGCCGATGAATTTTTCGCAAAATGCAACAACGCGTTGAAGTCGAAAATGTCGAGCTTTAATCGGGTTTCGATGATGCAACGACCAAGAAAAATAGGATGTATTGCATGATGTTTACATATTTCAAGTGTATTCTAGTCGTGGGAAATTCCCCCCCGTACGTGACGTGCGAAACGAATGCAAATACAGTTCAAATCAGCTTGCAAAAAATGACATAATATCCGTTCAATTCAACCATAGCATTTTTGACATTATGATCTTATCCCTATGAAGAACTCAAATATAGGATATTTCCTTGCAGCATGACCAGAAAAGGGGTAGTTTCCTCAGATTTTATACAAGGTTTTTATATATGTCAAAACCGGCTCGGCGTAGTCGTGACATGCGCGAGTAATAAAAACTTTAGATGGCTCGAGTTGTAGACATGCCCCGCCTCTATCGACAGCACTTGTCGCTAAATAACCCACCTTTACGCCATTCTTGGATGTTCAAACCATTTATTAACTCCATTACCGATGCAAACGTGAAACTAGCTTAGTAGCTGCAGTTCTTGCGTGTGAGGCAATGGCGCAAGGGGGCCTGTGTGGATATTACGAACCTTGGCGTGGATATATTATCCAATCATACGCACTTCAATTGAAATTATAGCCAATCCAATAATAGGATTACTCACGGCCGGCCTTGCCGTTCGTTAAGTGTTTAAACATTTTTTAGAACGATCGTTATGACGTTAAATGTATATAACGTATTAAACGCACTGACCTTCATGACGTTTAAACATTGTAGGCACCAAGTTTTCGGATAATTTTGTAGATTCGATAGATGACTTGTAATTTGTATGACAATATCCGGATGCAATTGTTCCTCTCTTTTGTGCACGGGTTGCATTGTGCACCCTCGGCAGATGAACTCGAAATCGGCCAGCATGATCAAGTCGCCGTCTACTGGCGCCGGCCTCCCTCGCGTAAATCGCCCAGGAAAAATCTCTCTGTCGGAAGAATCTGCGGGCTTCCACTGGTGGCCCCTTCCCATCGCGCTGACGATGGTGTTTTCAATCTTCTACATGGGCAACATCTTATATGACAGCGGGTGGCTGGACAAACTCACGGGTGGTTTGGTCTCAACGCAGTTTCACGAGGAGAACATTCTCACTGGTGGGTGTGCTGCCATTAATCACGCGATGACTTGGCGCGAACTCAGCCGCAAATCTCGCCATTGTGCTCGTGGAAGCTACTACGACCCTCTGCACAATAATTGTGCCGGGTGCATCCCGTTGATTCCCGACGACAAGTTCATGGCGATAACATGGGACACCAAGACCAACTGCTCCAAGGTAGGAATGCTCCTCTCCTGATCGTTGTGTGACCAAGATCTTACCTGCCCGAACTCAGCTCGTCGAGGAAGTTGAAACCCGGTATGTCAGCCATGTGTACTGGTCGTTCGCGGGGGTGCATGCAACTACGGGTGCTGTCGTCCCGCCCATCGACGAACAGGACAACACCCCGCTCGCTAAGTGCATCATGCAGCTCCGCACGTACGTCGCATATTCGTTTCGCAGTCCCTTACCGTGGCTCACATGACGCAGGCGCTGCATTCGTCAAGTCGGCGTGATCGGGGACATTTTCGCGAAAGAAAGCGCCTTTGCATCACTGGATGATGCGAAATTGCCCACGTTCGTCTCTTCGGCGATTGACTGGGTCAAAACGTACGATATATTTGCCAACTGAAGGCTCGGATGTGATCAATCTTCGCTTCATCTTCTAGCTTGAAGCTGGATGGCGTCAATGTTGCCGATCCCACTGGCAACACGGCTACTGGTGCATGGACGCGTGGTTCCTTCATGCTCAAGTTGATGAAGGCGCTTCGCGAAGGCCTGAACGGTGCTGCCTTGCCAAACGAACCACGCCTGACCTTGTCCTGGGACGAATATGCAATGGCTTTCGACACGGTGCAGTCTTGGCTTCTGCCGTCACTTGCCTACAAAGAATAATCTTGGACGGATAGAAAACGAATGGCGGGTGTGGCGCGAGCTCTGAAAACGTCCGGTGTTTCCCGGAAGGGCTGGACAAAGTTGTCGACACGATTCAACTGCAGCTGCAGCTGCGTCCGACGGTATGTCACGATGACATATCACGTAAGTTATCCTGTCCATGTGACGTTATCAATAGACGGTCGCCGTGGCAAACGTGACTGCCACCAACTGGACCGCCGTCATTCCTCGACTAAACGAAAAGGTCATGTACACGTTCTGCAACAACGGACCTGCGTGCAGTGCACTCACGCCAAAGGATCTCACGTCGATTGCACACGACGGGACGTACAAGGCCAAGGGGGCGGCGCTGTATTCTGGCAGTACCGACGTCGTCTCGAACAAGGCGGCGGTCCTCCGCGAGATGGGGTCGAAGGGCGCGTACGGAATATTGATGCCAACTCAATTGGTTGACATGCCCATTGTGCCGTATTGAAACATTTACATTAATGGGATTTTATAATTCAAACGTCACTCGACACGCAGCGCTAGTCGTTGAGGCGACATGCAAAGTCGACGTAGCAGCCAAACGCTTCCATGGAGCTTACACGCTTGAAAATCAATAGCTCACTCGTCTCGTAATAGATCGCGGTGGACATTGGATGGCTGTGATGCATGTTGCACGGATTTTGTGCTGCATCCAACATGCGCACTATCCGACTTGGGTTGGAAATGTGGAGTGTTCCCAAGCATCATCGAAACTCTGGTTCACTGCGCACGTCGCCGAGCTGCCAATGTACTTCACGTCCACATACAGTCAGTGATTTCGAGGCCGGCTTTAGCTTGCTGCCTCAAGTATCTGTGAAGGTTGTTGCAAGACCAAGAGTTATCGTCTGAACAAGTTGAGTTGCCTTGGAGCGATGCGACATTCGACAGTCGTTTCCAGGACAACTAACCACAGATATCATTGGACGTGCCACTGCCCATGTAGATGAAGAGTCCGCCAAGATGAACCGTCGCTCATGAACTCCCAAGCGGGAGCGGTGTCATCGGACGTGTCCTGGATTCGTGTTAAACCGTCCAACTCCGAGTAATACAGTGCGCGAAATAATTATATGCGCACATGAAAATCTTGGTTTTGCGGAGTAGTCCAGACAATTGCTTTCATCTGAACTTGCCCTACGTCGTAAAAGAGAGTTTGCAGTGTGGTGTAAGCTCAAAAATATCTAAACCTGGCTTAAAAGGGATAAAACTAGAAATCGCGGAATATATTTCGCGAAATATTTATATGCGCACTACGCTAATAGTCGATA